CCCCCCCCCCCCCCCCCACACTAAAAAAATTACCTAACAACAACCCAGAACACTTAACCCTAATAACCCCCTGAATAGCCTAGAAACCACCTAAAATACCACAACAACACCCTAGTGACGACCTAGAACACTCCAACAACATTCTGGTAACCACCCAAAACATCCTAGCAGCCAATTCAAAATACCACAAAACACCCTAGCAACCACCCAGAACACCCTAGCAACCCACAGCAACACCCTGGCCTCATTGCAGTGACTTTTGCATGCACAGGCACTACTTTCTTCTGCAACACTGTCTTTTCCGATCCATTTGCTCTGTGCGTCAACGCTCATTTATAAACTTCAGCTAGTACAGTATGTCTATATACAGTATGCTTTGATTGACAGGAGTTATAACCAGCTCCCTGAAGTGAAGAAGAGGAGAGAGGAAGAAAAGAGGAAAAAAGAAGAAGAGAAAAGAAAACGGACCAACAGGCTGCGGGCAGAGCTCTTTAAAAAGGTAGACATATTGTTTGCAGACGTGTAGGACTGATCTGAGAGCAGTTTCGAGGAGTTAGTAGTGAAGACTGATCTCAGATCAGCTCTGAGATCCATCGGTAATCATTACAGCACAGGCTCTCTCTCGCTGTGTGGGATTGAATTTTGCGTCGTCGTTAACTGGTTCAACAAATTAGATTAATTCTCAGCATTAATCTTGAAAGTGAAGCTTTTCCAATACGCCTTTCCAAGGTGTGGTTATCTTATCAAAATTCCTCTAATTCAATGGGACCGGAGAAGGATGCCTTCTCTAAACCCATTCCGCCCCTTTAGCAGTGGAAATTGATTTTGCCTGATGTATTTTGTTCCTAAACACTTTAAATATAGACTAGTTGAGCGCGGAGAGTGATATTCAACACATTTTCTGTCAGAAGACACACATCTCTAGTCCAGTCTTCACATTCACACACATCACACTGACTGGTAACAATCATCTCTGCTCAGAATGTTGCTTTCGTTAGCCAGCTTTGACCAGCATTTCTTTATGTTTAAGAATTTCTTTATGAGTCAAGCATCATTATTATCTCTGTTCATACTTTAGTGAGTTGAATAAATCCTTAGACCATGTCCAAACCAGGTGCACACAGTCAATCACAGTATATTTGGTGTTTAATATATTCATGAGGAATGAGATTTTACCCCAATGAGATTTAGCAATGGGCGGGGCTACCCAGTGTGATATCACAGCAATGTTATTTTACTTATATACTATAATAGATTTAATTAACATTTTGAATTAGACTTTTTTATGTGTTCAGTTTTCATTTTTAGCAATTATTTGCTTTTGTTGTTTATTTTTTTTAAATAATACAAATATGTATTATATTTGAACTTATTTTGTTTTCTATTTTAGTTGTATTTCAATTGTTATTTATTTCTAATAATAAGTTGGTCTTCTAATCATATTTCTAAAAATCATATTTAAGCGTGTATATACAGTGGGTACGGAAAGTATTCAGACCCCCTTAAATTTTTCACTCTTTGTGATATTGCAGCCATTTGCTAAAATCATTTCAGTTATTTTTTTTTTCCTCATCAATGTACACACAGCACCCCATATTGACAGAAAAACACAGAATTGTTGACATTTTTGCAGATTTATTAAAAAAGAAAAACTGAAATATCACATGGTCCTAAGTATTCAGACCCTTTGCTCAGTATTTAGTAGAAGCACCCTTTTGATCTAATACAGCCATGAGTCTTTTTGGGAAAGATGCATCAAGTTTTTCACACCTGGATTTGGGGATCCTCTGCCATTCCTCCTTGCAGATCCTCTCCAGTTCTGTCAGGTTGGATGGTAAACGTTGGTGGACAGCCATTTTTAGGTCTCTCCAGAGATGCTCAATTGGGTTTAAGTCAGGGCTCTGGCTGGGCCATTCAAGAACAGTCACAGAGTTGTTGTGAAGCCACTCCTTCATTATTTTAGCTGTGTGCTTAGGGTCATTGTCTTGTTGGAAGGTAAACCTTCAGCCCAGTCTGAGGTCCTGAGCACTCTGGAAAAGGTTTTCGTCCAGGATATCCCTGTAATTGGCCGCATTCATCTTTCCTAGGAAGGGTTCTGGTCGTCCCAAACGTCTTCCATTTAAGGATTATGTAGGCCACTGTGCTCTTAGGAACCTTAAGTGCAGCAGATTTTTTTTTGTAACCTTGGCCAGATCTGTGCCTTGCCGCAATTCTGTCTCTGAGCTCTTCAGGCAGTTCTTTTGACCTCATGATTCTCATTTGCTCTGACATGCACTGTGAGTTGTAAGGTCTTATATAGACAGGTGTGTGGCTTTGCTAATCAAGTCCAATCAGTATAATCAAACACAGCTGGACTCGAATGAAGGTGTAGAACCATCTCAAGGATGATCAGAAGAAATGGACAGCACCTGAGTTAAATATATGAGTGTCACAGCAAAGGGTCTGAATACTTAGGACCATGTGATATTTCAGTTTTTCTTTTTTAATAAATTTGCAAAAATGTCAACAATTCTGTGTTTTTCTGTCAATATGGGGTGCTGTGTGTACATTAATGAGGGAAAAAAATTAACTTAAATGATTTTAGCAAATGGCTGCAATATAACAAAGAGTGAAAAATTTAAGGGGGTCTGAATACTTTCCGTACCCACTGTATATTTCAGCTTTATTTCAATTAATAAAAAATGTTTTTGTTCATCGATAATAATCGAAACAGAATCAATGAAATAATAATAGAAACCAGTCACAGTTGATGGTGAAGACAACAACTTTGAGTGTACTTGAATAGATGAATAGATCCCAAACGTTTTTGTCAGCCAAACCACTTTGACCTAAAATATTTCCTTGAAGTACATCTGACATTTTACATTACTGTTTTAATATTATAACAACACATCTACATATTCACAGTTCTCTGATGTCGGTTAATGATCATATGACATGCAGGAAAACAAATCAAATATTATTAATCCAATATTATAATATTTATATATAAATTAATGTAATAATTTAAGAGTTTTATTTTTATTTATTTCTAAATTATTTCATTATTCACTTATTATGTTTTAAATTATTTATAATTTAAATTTAATATTTTTGTGATTTAATTGTTAGCTTTTCATTAACTCATGCACCCCAGTTTGGGAAACGCCGGTACATGTTGTTTGGTCATAAACCCTGTTCTCCACATAATGGCATGACATTTTGTGTGAATCTGTGACACTCTTTTGAAAGTCTCGAGAGCAGACCTGAAACCCTGAAGTCCTGCAGGTTCAGAGTCCAGTGTTGTGAGCATTAATGGGAGACTGACCTATGTCTGACGTGAGTAATTATACTGAGAGAGGTGAGCCATGTCAGACTCCTACTGACACCGCATTAAAGTGTCATTTTTCTGACGAGATCCTGGGGTTAATTAAAACCTGTGGGCTTTAGATTCAAGTGAAACATACCAGAGATGAAACGGAGTCGTGTGTGTGTGTGT